CTATTTAATGTGGTCAAGAGTAGGATGTATCACTAATTGGTGAAGGGTTATAGTCTGATAAAGATTTCATTATAGACTGGCACAGTTACATATTATTACATGTAGGAGTTTTGTTCGAATGAAAAGAAGCCTCTTATGAAATTCTGATATGGTAAATTACCTTTTCTCACATAAATAGTTATTCTCGTTCAGTGCTGACCTCTATATGCAAAAAATATTTTCACCTGCCACAAGCCTTGAACTCCCATGTACCCCACAATCAATGTGGTTCATCTGTGTGTCACATGTAAATTATCATGTGACAACCCTCTACCAATAGGAGAACGACACACCCTCTTGACACACGTGACTCCCTCTAATCGATTCTACTGAACTATGACTTCTCATTTGGCAGTGCTATCATCGAGATGTTTTTTGTTTGTCCTCTCTTCCCGCATTTTTTTTTTAAATTTCATATGAAGTGGAGATATTTTTAATTTTGTCAGCTTCACTTTGCCAGTTTAACATGATAACTTACCTTTATTGTTCTTCACATCTTTTTTTGGGGGGGGGGGTGAACTTTCATTTCCATTTCGAAAATGCTATAATTTTTTCCAGCACAATTACCCAGGCTTCAGGTACTTGACTAAGGAATTGTTCACTTTAATACATTGGGAGATGGATTGTTATATGAGTTGATCTTTGGGAGCCCTCACATTTGGAACACAGTCCGCAGGCTTTGGACAGATAAACTGTTATACTTTTATAGCTTTTTGAATATTTTTGATATTAATCTTATTATTTGTAGTTATTTGGTTTCAATAACATACATTTAGCTAGATTTGTACATAATTCTTGTAAGGTTAGGGTTTTATTAATAAATGTTTAGTGATAGCCTTTGTACTAAAATGTTAGATTGGGTGTAATTTTAGGCTTACCTGTCAGTCATCTTACTGGTGAATTGTAAATTAGATTAAATATATTGTTTCTTCAACAAATACCATCTACTAAAATTTTTTATTGTCAGTATACACCTACTTAATTTTAAAATATAATGACTTTTTGATTTTTGTAATTAATTATATTTTATATTTCTTACAATTAATTTCATTTAGCATCCCTGGTCCAAGGTCCACCCAACCTTCTCCCAATATGGCTCGCCTTCCTTCTCAAACTGCTGAACTCATTCAGGACGACATCTATTTTGACAATTTTCTTCCACCTTATTATGAGTTGGCCTACCCAGGTCTCTACTGTGGAGTCTGCTAGGCCTACCTCAGCCCTTTTTATATATTCACAGTTGTTGTTGTTTTTTCCCTCCTTTTCCAGATATTTTGGTTCATGCTTGACCTTTTTTTGTCTCTCTATTGAGAGATGGTGCTGGCATGCCTTGTTCTCCACAGGCTTTGGTTCATTTTGCCTTAGCCAACCATGAGGCAGATTGTTTTTTGTTTTCTTGCTTCTATGCATTTTGAATCTCTGTTGCCTGTACAGGGAAGCAGAATCTGTTATTCTTATCTCTTTCTCCCTAGCTAAGTTTTCTAGCCTTTTGTCTTCCCCTATTGCCTCTGCTATTGGTATTAGCTGCCACATACCTCCTTTCCAAGGTAATCCACCTATTTCTTGGGGATTTTCATGGGATACCTTCCTCCTCCTTATCTCCATGTTGGGGTGATTGCCATCTTTTACTCTTTCCATTTTTGCTTTTTTGGTTGCTAGTTTATATCTTTCAACATTGCATTCTTTATTCATGTTCCATGTCTGGCACCTTTCTGTCATTTACCTGTTGTACATCTAAGAGTTCTTCCATTAGTTGTGTATTCTTCATGCAGATTGGAGTTCTGTGATCGATCTGTCCCACCACAGTCACTTCTTAGTTTATTCCATTTTTTACTTTTAACACACTTTGATGACCAAAGACAACATTCTATGTTCTTATGCCCATGTTCCTATTTCTTTCCTTATGGCACTGTCCTATGTTTTTTCACCATGGCATTGGGTACCAGGTTGTGCTTTGCCCTTTTAGCTTGTTTTATGTTCGTTTATCCTTAGTTCCTAATGCACTTGCTTTGGATGTCAGTGTATTCAGACAGGATTGGAGCCTGTTTATACCTTTATTTCCTCATCCCATTTGTCATCTTTCTTCCCTGGGTGATTTCGCTCCTCCTTGCCACTCTGTGTCAGGTCTTTCTGATTGCTTCTTTCTGGCTGACTCAACTTCTTCAGCTCAATTTGTTCTTTTTGTTTTGGATCAGTTTTTTCCTACTTTCCACTTTGGAAGCTTGTTTGGCATGTTCTTCCTTTTTGTTTCCTTCCATCTCCCACCTTTATTCCCAGTCGGTATCCCAGATGGCCTTCTATGTCCCATACATGCTCTGGGTTGCTTTATTGCCTTCAAGGCTTCTTTCCAATTGTTCCCTGGCACAACTCCTCTGTTTTTGATATTTCCTTCCTCCCTTACCCTTTTGATTTGGTTTTTGATTTGATTGGTTTTTTGTTCTTTGTCTCTTTTTTTTCCATAGACAATTCCTGGTGTCTTCACTTTGATCAGGTACCTTCCCTTTTACCTGCATCTCACCCTCATCGTACATTGGAGGTACTTCTTCCATTGAGCACTGGGACTAAACCTAATACTTCCATCACCCATTATCTGCTTTGGGTAGCTGTTTCTTCCTCATTGGGTTGCCATCTCCCACTTGCTGCCATCCTTCACTCTTCAGTGAAACTGTAACTGTGTAAGTTACCTTTTTTTGTATATATACCTATTATTTTTCTGGGGCATGTCCCTTTTTTTTTTTTTTCTTTAAGATCCTGCTCTGTGGCAAGTGGTGCCTGTCCAGGAATACTTAACATAGTGAAATCTGCACTGTAAGGCCATGATGACTTAACAATTATAATTTCCATGGCCACTAAATCTACACTGTTAAGATGGCGTGTTCTACAAGATTGCTCATAGGCTTGCTCACTAAATATTTGCTTGATTCATATGCCCGTTTTGGACCATACTAACCCATGGACTTCATGAATAAAGCAGAAGAGGATAGCTGTCTATCCTTGCCATTCCTTAGATTGAATAAATCAGGAGTGGTCTGCTTTTTAAACTAGGGTTTTTGTGGTCTCCCTTTGCACTATCTCCAATGTTGATGTTCCTCCGGACTTTACACAACATTTTCTTCACCCTTTTCCTTCCAGTGGAGTATACAAGAGTTCTTACCACTTTCTAGTTTCAAGCCACTAGGGTGGTGAACCATGGAGGCATCTTTTTGAATGTGATAGTGATATATGATACAAACAATAATGAATCCACTCAGTTGAAAGTAGGGCTGGTGTAGATGATGAGATATCCTCCAATCTTACACTCCATATCTGAATGGGTCTATCCAAGGGGATGTTGTAGTTTTGGAGTGAGCCTTCAAAATTGCAGTTCACCCCTTCATTTGGTATCCCTCATCTTACCCCCACATGGATATTGGTTCCCAATGGCTGGGTTTTGGATTCAGAGCTGGACCAATCAACATAAGTCCTCACACATGTATTACTAATGTCTGTGTTCCCCTCACTCAGTTGGACTCATATTCACTGCTACTGTGTTGTGGGTCACAGTGGATGATCATGCAGGTTACTACAGTTCTTCCTCTTGTGCTATTCCTTGAAGATTTTCATTTACTGAGGATGTTACTGTGTTGGGGGTGGTTCCAGTATGATTGGTTTTGAGTGGGATGTTTTACAATATAGAGATATATTTATTATTCCAATCATCCGGATATAGGGTTCCTGGATTGGTCACTCTTTTTATCACTTTGCTATCATGTATACTCTTCACAGATTGGTGGGTATGATATTTCCCTCCAGTCTGCTGAACCTGAGGTGAAGACAGTATAATCCTCTTTCCTACCTTTGCATAAATGTCAGTTCCTGATGGTTGGGTTGTGGATGCAGTTGACTTGCCATGTATTGTCATATATGGGATTGAGATTCAGATATTGGGTGGTTTGGATCCCTATCCAACCATTCTTTTCTCCCTTTTGGATGTGCTCCTCCCTTTTTTCCACTCATGTGTGCATCACCTCTTTCCACATTGAACATAGAGTATACCTGGTACAGAAGTAGAGTGGTCTCTCATGTATGATCCTCTACTGCAAGGATCCTTCCTTTTAGGGTGTCCTTCAGATGTTTTCAAAGGATGTTTATTTCTTTCCCTCTTACCAGTTCCTCCACCTATTCAGTGTAGGATTCTAGCTATTTATGTGAGAAGAGGTAAGGTACTGTATCAGAAGTTATAATTTTCCAATACTGAAAATGTATTTCCTATAGGTACTTGCCTCCATTTTCAGTGGGGAGGAAGGGTGGGAAGCCAGTGCTTCCATTTTCTAGCAGAACTCTGAGTGATAGTTCGGTAGAATCGAATAGAGGGATTCACATGTGTCAGGAGGGTGTGTTGCACTCCTATTGGTGGAGGGTTGTCACATGATGATCTACATGTGAGATGCAGTTCAACCACGTTGATCGTAGGTACGTTGGAGCTCAAGGCTTATGGTATATAGAGGGTAGCACTGAACGAGAATAGCTATTTATTTGAGAGGAGGTAAAAACCTATCAGAAATATGTTTTCAGTTTTTGAAAAATTATAACTTTAGTTGAATGGATGGCAACTGCCTCTTTAGAAACACAAATATAGAAGACAACATTTCGAAAGTCTTCATCCTTTTATCTTCAGGTCAGGTGTTGTTGGTCTTTATAGTATTCTGCTGGGTTGTGGAACGTGTGTTATGATTGGTAGTAGCCATTCATTCAACTAACTTTCATCATGAATACTTTACCTAAACAATCTATCAAAGAAGCCTCTTAGTTGAAAAGATAAGTTAAAAATTATTAATATTGTGTTCATTGTCAAAACTTGTAAAAGTTTAATGAGATTATTCAAACTTGTTTTTGTAGATTAAGATTTGTTACTTAATTAATACTCTATTTACATTCATATTAGGTTTGAAAATTAGTTTCTTGTTTGTTTTTTTATGTAGTAACAAGTGACCTTATGGTTGGTGATGTACAGGGAATGAAACGTCCTTTAAAAGACATACCTCAGAAGATTCAACAAGAAAAATATGAAAGTGAGCTTCAGTTCATTCAACGTTTACATCGTGTGACAGAACAAGCTATTGCAGAGGTGCGTATAGAAGAAAAATATGGAATCAATAAGGAAGAGCAAGATCTTGCCATCATGAATTCCCAAATTAAAGATAATGGAAAATCTAATAAAAAGTGAGTACATATAGGTACTTATAATTATGTACACTGGAAGGCAGTAGTCATAACTTGACTTATGAGAACTGGAGGCTTAAACTTTGTTAACTCTCATCAACCTTTTCATGTGGATTGAAATGGCTTTCACCCAGTATATCTTACAACGTAGTGTACTCACAAGTCTTGTGACCACTCCTTTTACTCTTATACAACTACACATAATAAATCGGTAAACTGGGACAGTTTACAGCCACAGCTATACCATTGTTCTATATGCTACATTACTGAAATTTATTCGTTTTTTAATAGTCACCATCATAGTACATTGACCTACGTGGAGAGCTGTCATTGCTTGAAGTTATCAACAGTCACTATGTTTACAGACAAAACTTCTTGTAGCTGTGCAAAATTAATTTATACAAATATTTTTCCTGATTTTTACTAAATAAATGTTGCCAAATGATAGAATATCAATTCTAAAATATTGTTGAGTTAAGGTTTTTGAAATAAAGTTAGAGTAATCATATGAAATTTACTTAAAAATTTGTGGCTTTAAAAATATAAAGTAGTGAAAAAAATATTCATTTGGTTAAAGTTATTGTAGAAAAATGTGAAAAGCCAAAAGAAGCCTTGTCTTCGGGTATAATGATTTAAATTAAGTGACCTTTTCATCTTAAACTGTTGTACATGAAAAAGTTTCATACATGCAACATATTAAGCTGAAAATTAAAAACAATGGTCCATGGGTTCCTAGAAATTACCACAACATTATTGTACTAAAACTACTGAATTTCTATTGAAGAAAATAAGCATTACTTCCTGATATTGCTTATAAATGAAAATATGAAATTAATAGTGAGTAATGAGATTAGTAGCAGGTACAGGATAAGTTGCATACACTTAATTCTTGGGATTGACTTTACAATTTTGCATAAACACAACTACATATCAAGGTGATCAATTATATGCTGGTGTATACAATGTATAAACAACATTTTAGGGTGAGGAAGCACATGTATACTTTAGGTGCATTTTCACTGTACAAAGGGACAATAAAGTTAACAGCATGTGCCACTTCATCTTTTAGAAGTAAAGGAGAATAAGATTATTATCATAAAATTAGTAATTTTTTGTTAGAATTCTATACAGTGAGTCCAAGTGTCCATGTTTTTTGGTTTGTTGTCGCAAATTCAGGTTCCATACTTTTGGCCACGGAGGTATTATAAGAGTGATGGTCAAATCCCACTATTTGGTCAGAAAAGGGTTGCCCAAAAGTTGGTGATGGGTGTTGTTGACTAACTGGTTTCCATTTAACCTGTCAGTTCATAATTAGGGACAGATAGCACACATAGCCTTTGTTTAACTTGGTGTGAATATTCAAAACAAACAAATCATCCAGTGGCCCAATGACCTCTGTAAAAAAGTTCCCACCCCCAAAATTAAATCTCAAATAGTGTTGTTTATGCTAATATCTGTTTGACTAACTAATTTATATAAACAGTTGACATGCCATATATTAGGCTTTAAGTTAGCTAAGTGTACAAGTTCTGATACAATACCTTACCTCCTCTCACATAATAGCTTTCCTCAATTTGTGCTGTCCTCTATATGTGCAAATTTCACTTGCCACTACCCTTGAGGCTCCCACCTAACATCACATGTTTACATGTGGTATAGCTGCATTGTAGCATGCAAATAAGCATGTAACAACCCTTCTTCAGTAGGAGTGTGACACTTACTCCTAGTGCAGTTGACTCATTCTATATTGTAGAGCCCAATCACAATTTCTTGATTTGGCACTTGTATGTAATGACGTCTTTTTTTTTATCTCATGAAATTTTCAGAAAGAGGCATTTTTTGGTACTTATCTATCTGTTGTGGAAGTATTTATTGTTGGATTTTACCTTTCCAACATTTTTCTGCACCTGCAAATTCTGCGGCTATTTATTTCCATATTATTTCATTAATATCAGTAACTTCCACTTTGCCTGGTGTGAGACAACAAGATGCTGACTTCATACCTACATTGACATTGAGTTTGTCTTTGTCTGTTAGGAGAAGTGATGACTTTTGTGTGGTGGGTGGTGTAGTAGTTCATGAGACGTGTGCCTTATTATGTAATTGACATACCACTTTTTTTCCCACTACCTACCTTTGCTTAATCTTATACCCATATTGTCTTGAATCTACCTAAGCCTTTTTTGTAATTTCAGGACTAAGTTTCTCAGGTATATTTCACTCCTTCTCTTTGTAATTTATTCCATTTCTTCTTTTTGTTTTTTTACTTTCTATCCAGATATGCTAGTCAGTATTCAATTACTTTTACAACTACTTTGATGCATGCATGCCTTGTTGTCTTTCCTTTTTACCTCATATGAGTAGGCCTATCTTCATGCTGTGTTGCCTTTCTTCTACTCCTAATCTCTGGAATCTTCTCTTCAGGTCAAATCCTCTGTCTTTTGTTCTTCCTTATCCTCACTGATTTAAAGTACTTCCCATGCTCCATCTGTACCTCTCTCTATCTCCATTCCTCCTGCTTCCTCTTCCCTCCCACTCACCACTTTCTATCCCTTTGTTCTCATCTGTCCTTTCCATGGCTCATAGACTTTTTAATCTTGTTTGTGACTATCCTATATGTTCAGAGTTGGTGTGTCCTGTTTATTCAGTTTTATGGACTTTTCCCCTCCATTTGTGGCTGATTGTGGAATATTGGAAGTTCTGTCGGTGAGTTTTCCATTCTTTTTTCCTTTCCTCCTCCATTGTGTCCTGTTCCTTGTACGTTTCTTCTTCCAAGGATCTTGTTTCTTGCTAACATCCTCGGCAATGTTGGACCTAGTGGCTAAAGACTCAGATGGGTTCTCATCCTTTTTCAGGATTTATTCCTGTCTTTTTGTGATTCCTGTGGAATCCATAGCTTGGCATCTGGTCTTAGTTATTTTTTGTTTCAATCAGTTTATCGACCTCCGTCTATTAACTCTGGGAACTTGTCCTACCCTATGGTGGTCTTTTGCCCCGGGTCTTGTGATGACGGAAATGGACTTCTCAGATGCTTCTTTTCTCATTTGTCTGTGTTCCAACAAGCCTCCTACACTCATCCTCTTCTCTTCATTTGGGAGGTGATAAGTCTGAGTAGGTTCACTAACCTTGAGAAGTCATATCTCACACTCATTTAGTTTCTTATTCAATTGGGTGTTTTTCAGTTTGCATCTCCACAGGGCCCAGCCTACTCCTCTTCTTTTGAGGGATGTAGAGCAATTAGTTTCCATGCCCTATCTTTTCCATTTCTCACTGTTCTGGAGGCTCTCTCTCTTTTGGGGACTTAGGCTTCCATGGAATCACATATTCCCTTGGGTTAGGCTTATTTGTGACATCTACAGTAATCTCTGCATGATCAACTATTGCTGACTACAAAGCAGCTCAATTTAATAATTTTGTGTTTTCCCATTATTGTCATGTATTTTCCTCTCTTGCCCTTTCTCTACTGTTTTTTTTTTTTGCCACTTTTGTCTTTCTCATCCTGCAGTTCTTCCTGATTGGGGCCTGAATGGGACTTATACTTCCATAGAATCCCATATTCCCTTGGATCAGGCTCCTTTTTGACATCTGCAATGAACTCTGCATGATCAGCGGTTCCTCACTTGTGTTCCTTTGTCCTCCACCATTTTTCTTTCTCCTTCCTTATCAAAGACTTCACCTGGTGACTTGGTACACCCAATACCATAGAGGGTGTTCCTATTCCTTACTCTTGTCTGGGAGGCTTGATTTGTTTTCAGATGCCTCCTTGATAAGATGGGAGGGGGCATGTCTTGACTCTCAAGTGATTTGAGTTGGTGGTCTTGTGATGATCCTTCCTTTCATATCACTCCCTTAGAGCTTTTGGCACGATGTTGGACTTTGAATAATTTTTTTATTATGGTTCTTCAATGTCTAGTGACTATCTATACAGCCAAATCTGCTGTCTCCTTTATCAATTGCTAGGGAGGCACCTGGTCTCACTCTCTCTGTTTCCACACTCTCAACTTCTTTTTCTGGACCCATTCTTTACATATACATCTAATAATAGTTTGTCCTGTTCTGGGTGTCTTGATTCTTGTTGCAGATTGTCTTTTTCTGGCCCAACAAGATAATTCCTTATGGAGTGGTCCCTTGATCCTCTGGTGTTTCAGTAGCTTTGCTTTCATCTGGACACTCTTCTAAATACTTTTGGCACTCATCTCAACACTATACTTCCAGTTTTTTGATCCCAGGTTTCTCATTCTTCAGCTCTTGCTGTGGATGCATTCAGTTAGGATTAGTACAACCTTTTTCTCTGTGCCTACTCTCATATTTGTCTTCTCCCTCATGTGCTATCCATCATTCTACTCACTCCATGTTGGGTCCTCCTGAATGCTCTGCACTGGCTGGCTCAGCCATGGTTTCCTCTATCACACCTTTTCCAGTCCTCTTCTCATCTTTTTATACCTCTGTCATGTTCCCGACTCATTCAGTCTCACTCCTCTCTCTCTCCCATTTGGCTGTGTTGTCACCCTGGCTTGATGTTTGAGTTTTGTTCAGTCCCTTGCAAGATGTTGCAGGCTCTCTTCACGTGTAGCCTTCCTTCTTTTTCATTCTGTTCATACTTCCTTCCTTTTTGGTCTGTCCACGAAAATGGTGTACATTCTGTAATTGGTTTCTGAGTCGTGCTTTCTCCCCTTCCTGTCCTTCTGTCCCACATCTTGCTGAATTTTTACATTGATGCTTCCTGTATTCTTTTCCAACATTCTCATACTCTTCATTATCCTGATTACACTTTTCTCCCAAAAATGTCTGTGGCTTGTGCAGGATAAAGTGCTTTTGCTCTTGTTTCTCTTTCTTCCATTTCTCACTTGTATTCTTGTTCTGATCCAGATTGTTTTCTCTGACTTATCTGTGCATTTCATTGTTATTTGGCCCTCACTACTGCTTTTCACACTCCTGTTTATATATTTTATAGAATTTTGTATCTCCCCAAGATATTTGCATTACCCTCAAGGGATAGCTACAGCAGCTCATACATTTAGCCTGTGCTTCATTGGATGTAAATTCACATCAACTCTTTCAGGTCTCCTCTCACTAAATTCAACACCTTACTCTCTCTCTCTGGCTGCTCACTTCCATCATCTGTTGGTGGAGTCCATGCAAGCTGATGTGTGGACTGCCTTGCATACTTTTGTCACACATTATCTTCATCATCTGGCTGTCTCTTCTTCTTCAGGATATCAACTTTCTCCTGTTGCCATTCTACATAGCTCACTAGCTCTGACTGGGTAAGTTCTTTTTTTATATCTCTTACATTTACAGTGGCCTATTTCTACACCTTGGGATCTTACTGAGTGACCAGCAGTACCTGCTGGGATATACTTAAATTTCATATGCACCATGTGACTTTTGATGTCTGTAATGCTTACTAATAAGATGGGGTGTTCCACAAGACTACTGGAGGGTTTCTTGCAGTATGTTGCTTCATAAGTAAGGTCTCTTTCAGACTGCACCAACTCATAGACTATCATGAGTAAAGCAGTGTCACAATTTCTGCCTGTCCTTCTGGTCGTAGTTAAATATATAAACTGGGACCAGTCTACTTTCCAAAATAGAGTTTTTGTGGTCACCCATTGCACCCCAGATTCCCCACCACACCTTCCCCCTCTATTCTAGTGAAGTATGGGAGTTCTTGCCACTTACTAATTCCTAGCTGCTTGGGTGATGGGCCATGGAGGATTCCTCCTGAGTGTGACTTGGTGTGTACTCTTCTCACAGCCCAGATGAAAAATTATTGATGCCGTCTGGTTTTGGACTGGTTAAATTCACGACATGCAGTTCACCACACTGACTGGCTTTACCCCAGCACAAAATGAGGAAAGCTGTTATGTGAGAGGAGATAAGTATGTATCAGAAATATATTTTCAGTGTTAGCTTCTGACATTGTTATTTTTTTACATAATTCATTCCAGTTCTGCATATATATATATATTTTTTTTTCTTTTGTTTTGTTTTTGGTATTGTGTAACTCACTTTCAGTTTTGTTACTTGAAATTAGGTTTTAGAATTCATATAATTTCAGGAAAAGAAATTTTCATGAAAAGAAGAGATTAAAAAAGAGAATGAAAAAAGAAGAAAAAATTGATGATTTTGCTTATTTAAAAGGTATTTATGAGTTTCTCCGTAAAACTCTTTGGAGCTTACACTACTAGTTGTGGTAACTACATTAATCTATAATAAGAAGAATGGTAAATTATCTTGGTGCATTGAAGAAGAGGTTTTGCACCAATTACGGTCTTCTGTTATTAGCATTCATGACTGAGATGATCTAGATAACCAAACTATTTAAGGCTTTTTGTACTTGATAGATAAAAAACTCATTGACATCTAATTGTTATTAA